GCATTTGGGCTTCTCGCTTTGCGAGAAAGTCAGCCCTTTCGTTGCCTTCAAACCCTTCATGGGGACGCTATTGTGGGCTCACAGGTGGTTCAAGACTTTACAAACCTTGATGCAGTTTTAAAAGACTCTAAGGCCTTTAACGCTGCCTGGGTGTCCGACAAAATATTTATTCTGGCCTCATTTGCCTTCTACGATGACATTTGCGAACACAGACTTCGATTGGGAAGACTTCGGACTGAAATATGGTTGAGTACGAGCCCATTGGCAGACTTTTCTGGAATCTAGGTCCAAGTACGCCATAAATTATATCGCTACCTAAAGGTGAAACGGTGCCAAGTCCATTTTTTTTCAAAGTTTAGTTTTTGATGCAGAATGACAGGTAATACGAAACTACATCGATTTGTCGTCTCTCCTGAAAAATTTTTAAAAACGGACTTGGCACCTTTTCATCCTTAGGTCACGATATATGGATGTCCGTATTGCATGTTGGCAATAATAAGGTATACGTTTGTACTTAGGAATCAGGTATATTTACATGTTTGCGGCCGCCATTATACGAACGCACCGGTGAAATATTTGTGTAAAAAAGGTTGCTAAAATATTTGGAGATACGTAAATACTTTCTATTTTTCGCAAATAACTATTACTCATTGTCCCGAAACCTACCAAAATCCAATCAAGCCTACCAACCTACCAAATGGAAAAAAACCTACCAGTTTTGGTAGGAAAAGCCCATGTTTGGCAACACTGCCGGAGGGCTTTGTGCACCAAACAAAGGGCGTAAAATTCCTCATATACACAATAAGCCATCGTTCGGACTTCTCTCCGATAGGAGTATATTTGTTCCGCTTTGTCGAAATAATTTGAAACCTAGTCCTCTACCCCGTTCAACTGAAAATCTGCTCCGTTTTGTTGCATCAACAAATTTACTCTTNGGGAAAAATTGCGTCATTACCCACCCTTAGGCTGCGGTAATACTGACCATGGGCCTGAGCACACTAGCCTGCTCGGTCGGACTGAGCAGTCCACCACTCGAACGCACACTGGACTGGCCAGTCGGCCGAAAACAGGTTTCAGTTTTGTATACATGAACTACGCATGATTGTGTTAGTGCGTGTGGCACATGCAAACAAAACAAAATAGAAAACATGTTGTCTATGTGTGCGTGTCAGTCCACCGTCAATCCGCGATTTTCGCGGACTGAAATGAACGAGGTAAACTCGAACTCTCGATATTATTATTATTACGTCGAAGATACCCGCTCTGCGACCTAAGAAGATATATTGTGCTAAATCAAAATTGTAATCACTCCATCCTTAGGCTATTTAAAAAGCTCAGCACTTTGGATGAGGCCATGTTCCAAATTTTAGATGGAGAAGGCAATCGTTCTCCAAGGTGTATCAATCTATGATTCATGCTTCGTGGACAGGCACATAGAATATACACTGGGGTTTCTTTCACCAGCCTACAAACCCTACAGTCCGTCTCTACAGAAAGACCCATTTAATTAAAACCGTACGTTAACTTGCAGTGTGCTGTCAGGTTGCCAGCAAGAGTTCTAAGTTCAAGGTGTCTTTTGGAGTTCCTGCTGGAAAGAGTTATNGCACCGATGTAACAATTGTCCCGGTAAAGAAAGAATGAAATAGCTTTTTATTAATTTTAACCAAGACATTTTAACTTTAATCATAATGGATTAAGGCGCCTTTACACGGGTCGATTTTCTAGTAGATTTTTGTCGTTCAACCAAAATCGACCCGTGTAAATGACATCTCAACCGTGAAATGTAAGTGCTTTGGCTAGTCGATTTTCCAGTGTACAGAAATCGACCCTTGTAAAGGCAGCTTTAGCCCCTTATTTAGTCCCAGAATACAGTGATACGAGGAGAAATGAATTGTTTTTATAAAGATAAGAAATGCACATCTACTACGAAAACTTGATTTTTACTCCCATTTTTCAGTCCGAACCAAGCAAAGAGCGCTCGATGAAGGTCAGCTAGTGATCAGTATTGTCAAGTTTTTTATTTAAAAAAGCACCAAAAACTGAAAATAGCGCAATTTTCCAAACAAAAAAAACACCAAATTTGTGTTGCCCTGTTCAATAGTATTTTTGCATATAAAGTCGTATGTTCAAATATTTTAAGTAATCACGCAATGTCATTTGTAAATATTTCCAACAATGCACAGTTAATTAATTTAATTTGCAAAATGTTTTTTTATTCGCAAATAAATTTGCAAAGCTTTAATTGGTTTCTCTAGCGGCTTTATTTTCATGCAATTGCTTACTTTTGTATAAATGCGCACACCCAGCTAATTAGCAGAATATTCTATGAATTCCGTGATAAGAGACTGTGTGAAAATATTGCGTTTGGATTATTTGGGAGAATATTATCCAGATAAAAAGCACGGCCAAACACTAACATATGTGTAAGTCAACGGATAAAGTTTTCCGTATGTTTGGAATGAATAAATGAATGAACAAAATAAATACAATGTCACCATAGAATCATGTTTTTATTATAAAATTACCTTGAAAAGGGCACCAAAGAACGAAACAGCGCTAAACTAAAAAATTTCCGCGTTTTAATTCCCTAAACGCACTTAATTTATTGCGTAAGGCACAAAGTTGGCAACAATTATAGCGATGTCAAATTTGCTCATATACAAGCATACAAGGTGCTTTCAAACGCACCAAGGTTTATTTATAAGAGGTTGCGCAATGCGCAGGTCCGCTATTCTTTTCTCGCAAAATTGGGCGACAATAACAGCGAAAACAACAAGCTGCGTAAAAAAACATAAAATTGAAATGAAGTGAAGCGATTTCAAACCAATTGTAATCGATAGCTTATTCAAAAATACATTTACAGATAATTTTAACCAAATTTTTACACATGCCTGTATGTCGAAAAAGCCACAAAATCAGATTTTTCACTGCGGAAAATTTTTGCGAAATTTTCATTTAAACTCACTATATCTCAGACGTATGTGTATCGATTGATTTGCAATTTATAAACAATAAACTACATACTATTCTAAAGAAGATCAGTCTAACTGCACTTCTTAATATTTATTTAAAACAAAACGACGGATATTTTAACATTTTTATAAAAATTAAGGAGGTGGTTTTTACAAATGCAAAAGTTGTGTTATGAAGTTTAAAATTTTTATATTCAACAATTTTATAATGAGCTCGAGGCCATTTTTTTAAATGAAAATTTATTGTGGAAAAGCAACAACAATTTGAAAAAATGGTAGAAGTGATAGCTATTTCGGGAATCACCACATTCACCGTGCTAAGACGCCTTGTAAATTATCGTTTGCTTATTTCCACTATTTCCATTTTTGTTATGCCAACACAATCAAGCGCAGCTATTCCGCTGCAATTCACTTGATCATGTGGTTGTTGGTTTTGTTGGTTTGTGCTAATAATTCTATTTTTAGAATGCTTAACTTTTAGGTGTGATATTGTAAAACAATCACTGTACGAATAACCATTTTGACTATGTGTGTAGTCATATATCTATATGCATACATATTTAGGTATGTAGAGCTTTAATAAGTTATATTACACTGATAAATTTATGAATTTCAATATTTCACTTAATATTACTTCCAAAATTACTTGTACAATTGCCCAGTAAAAATATTTGTCATCTAGAGGCGAGCGCCCGCTTGTGGGTGTCACCATAATATTGTTATAACTTTAGAACTACTTGTTGTCTAAACCTGAAACTTTCCCGAAAATGTCCGTATATATTTATCTTTAATGCCGCATTAAAACAAAACAAAAATTGTAAACTTCATAACACAACTTTTGCATTTGTAATTTTTATAAAAATGTTACAATATCCGTCATTTTGTTTTAAATAAATATTAAGAAGTGCAGTTAGACTCGTCTTCTTCAGAATAGAATCTAGTTTATTGTGTACAAATTTCAAATCAATCGAATCATAAACGTCTGCGATATTGCGAGTTTAAATGAAAATTTCGCTAAAATTGGCCGCTGTGAAAAATCAAGTTTTGTGGCTTTTTCGGCATGAAGCAAAATATCGCCCTGAGACGATATGCGCAGGGAGAGGCAATTTTTATTTCGCAGATTGCGCGACCTTCTATGTATAGATCTTGCAAACGCACGGTGGAGAGAATACAGAAGGTGGCGCCGATGGCAATACCGCTAATCGGCTCTCAGTGAATTTGACAGAATCAGCTGTTTTCCTGACATCACAGTCGAGTTGACAGCAGTAGTGATGTGCTGAGTTAATACTTTTAAGTATTGATCGATATTCGGTACCGATTTAAAAAAGAACCAATGGTCTCGATACTCGGTACCGAAACATTTAGGCTTAGAATAAAAGCGCACAGAGGCCAAAAATATGGAAAAACGGTTCAGGGGAGACTCGCCTATCAAAACCCGAATGAAGGAGCTAATAGATCTTTAAATACTGATTCAAATGAAAGATGACGGTTCGAGGCCATAATACAGAGAAACTCTTACTTGTTTGAAGTAATTTTGTTCCAGCTGAATCGGACGGTATCATTTTTGTAGGCATGGGGGCAGATTCTGTATCCAGTTAGCGACAATTTTCGAATCGGTATCGGTTTTGTTGACATATGATATGAAATATTTCTCGTCAACAAGTACGATATCGATTCGAAACTTGTCGCTAACTGGTTACAGAATCTCCCCCCTGAAATTCTTTTTCATCCGTCAAAGCATTTTTCTTGAGCCTTGGATCGACTAAGGTTAAAACTCATAAAATAAAATTTCTCTGTTGCGATAAGGTCAAGTGTATTTTAGCCGATATCATGTAAATTACTAATGAAAGTTTTTTCTAAACTTGAAATGCATATAATGGCGAAGGTTTAATGTAAAAAATTGGTATCAGGTACCGAAAAGGAAGTATTGCGTACCGAAATCTTTTTTAAGTACCGACAATTCAGCACATCACTAGAGAGCAGTTTTATTTGCCGTTCTCAGTTGTCAACGATGACGTCACGCCAAAATTCTGCTGCAATCGGCGCAATCTTGTATTCTATCATTCTTAATTCAAACGTAATTGGCACACTAACACAATCACACTTTCAGCTCGCGTTTACTTGCGGTAGTGATCACCGCTGCTCATATACCTACACTCGTCATTTGAATTGCATACCCTTCCAATCCTTAGTATTTACAGTTTTCCTTTTGTTTATTCTACGGGAAAATGCAATTTTAAAATTTTTTATAAACGATGGGCAAATGGGCAGCACCATCCAAAAAGATTGTCAAAAATCACGGCTATTTTACAGACACTTGAAACTTGCACTTTATTGTACCCCTTCATGTTTGCCCATGATTCAATAATACAAGGTTAGATCATTATTGAAAGCTGCGATTTGACACTCCCTTACAAAAGGTTGCATTTACGAATGACAGAGAAAGGGCAAGAATGCAATCCCTTGTTGCGAAAATGGTAGTAGAAAAGTACTCAAAGTAGGCAATTAGTAGTGAAATTCCTTTCGTAAATTCTAATGTATTTGCAGGAAATCTGGCATTTTAAACGAAATGTTGAACGTAATATTGATATATCTACGTGAATTACGTAATCTATATGCTATTTAGCCGTATAAAAACTGCAAAATGACTCAAAATTAAAATTAGACTACTATGAGATCGATGGAAAAATCCAATGCTTATGTTTTCATCAGTTAAATACGCTTCATATGCATATACAAATAAACATATTGCACAAAAGCTTATACTTTTATTTCACACCAAAGCTACACTGTTTCCATGTAAATTTGCAGAGAAGCAACACGGTGCCACTGCTAAGGGAGCGGTGCGAGAGAGACAACTGTCAGTTTATCGAACCTTGTATTATTGAATCATGATGTTTGCCCATGATTTTCCCCTGATCTAGCCCGCGAAATGGGCTCGGTTGTCCGTATATAATATACATATAGAATGACGAGATGAATTGGTTCAAACGTGTCTGTTTGTAAACACGCTAATTCGAACAAAATCGAAATCTGTCAATAACCACGCCCAATTCCCTTGTAGTAATAACCATGTTTTTGTTTTATTGTTATTTTTTTTATGAATTTTGCTGTTTAAAGTTACATTTCAAATATATCAACAAACATTTGTGGGTACTTTTGCACCAGTAGTCATAGGCAACTAATATTTAACGAGAAAAAGTCCTATAATTACAAAATATTTCATGCATTCATTTTCAAATAAGCATATTGTCAATTCTTAATTTGGGTGATAGTCTCCATGGAATTTTTTGTTCTTCTTTCATACCATAAATGGCGAATGTCTTGTTTTACTCTTTAGGGAACATATTTGAATTTTTTCGAAATGGTATTCCTTCTTTTCAAATTTATTCATTGCAGGGGCCCTGACAATCAGCGCTTCTGAGTGGTACGCAACCGATTGTTTAGCTACAGTCCTTCTTTTTGTTCCCGTAAATTCATGATAAACTGAGCGGAGAACCATTTTCACCGCCAGAGCATGTTTTTCAGGTACGGACTTTACTGCGGGAAAAATGCTTCACCTTGCTTTGTTTGACCGTTTATAAAAGGAGTACATACATAAATCACAGGAAAAAATTTCGAAAAACAAAGCCATGTTTACAGACGATTTTTTTTTTCTTTCTTAGCTACTCTAAAGACTTATGGCCCTATTATATATGGCGACTGGTGTCCACTTGTCGGTCTAGTAGCCATGACTACGATTATCGTACTTTGTATTATGTACAGCGATTAAACTCAGTGGACAAAAAAAGCGAATTTTGCTCCAATATGTTTAACATTTTGTGTAAACAAATAACAAAATCTTCGTAGGCGGGAAACAGAAAATTGTGCTACTAGACTCAGTAGCCGTCAGTCAGTAGCCAGTTGTCATACGTAATACGAATTTTAGTACATAGATCGTTGCCCATCGGCTGTCAGCCGCCATAAATAATAGGGCCATTATTTAGTGCCCCTCGTGAAGTAGACACTGAAATACGTATAATGTTCAGTATATATGAGCTCTTCCCGATCTTTAAATATATTTTCGATTAATAAAACTGTTATTTCATCAAGATTACCCAACTTAAGGTTTTATAAATTAAATATTAATTAAAGTCTTATCGAACAAGCAATGTCTTTTATGGAACTGGGTAAAATTTTTGTTTTATTGGACATGGTACCGTTTTACGGCGTTGTCTAGAACATACCTATATTTGGAAACCTGCAATTCTCTGTAGTGATAACTCTAAGCCATAAAAAGTACTATTTTTTACAAATATTAAATTGCTTAGTCTTGGTGTAAGGCGTATACACTACATAAATAATGCCAGTGTAACCAGAGAAAGTAGGTTTCAAAACCGAAATAATACCGTTTAAAACATACATACATACATATACCCAAAATAAGTGAGAATAAGGAATAATAAATAAACTGAGCCTTTTGTGTTAAGGGTGGAAACGATATTAAATCAAAGAAAAAAACAAAATACTAAAATCATAAGTAAAGAATTTATGACTGATTTAATAGAAAAATAATAATATAAAGTAATATATAATAAAAGAAATATAAAGCATGTTTAAGCTAAGAAGTTTTTTATTATTATAAAATATATCGTGAATGAAGTATATACAAACATCTGAACTAATATCTTTATACCTTTATACTTATAAATATACATATGTACTTACGTAATACACCCTAAAGACTTAAATTACCAAATTTTATTACCGCATTGCACAAGAAACGCCGATTTAAAAAAAGAGTGTTAGCAGTTTATTACAAGCAAAAACCAGCAACGTGCATAAGAGATGCGATAGAAAATGTTTAGCGTAAAATTCTGACTTACAATAACTTTATTGGCTCCCTGAGCTTGAGCGTTGTTGAACTGTGTAAAGGTCTGAATTACAAATACGTATGCAATATGACGAAATCAATAAAGTGTTTGAAATTAGAAATGTTTTGAGACTAACCCAAAGCATTAAAAAAACCTTTCACCCGAAAACATAAAGCATACATTTTCCATGAAAAACTTTACAACCTCACTCTGTAGCCCAAAAAGATATAGCGAGTGAAAAAAAGTAGCCAATCACTTGTGCGTGTATGTACATATCTATGATGTGCATATGAAAAAATCATCTATACTATATATAAATTAGACTGTGTCAAATAAAACGACTATCTTTGCTTTCGGTCCCATATGAAAATTTCGTTGTTGGTCACAAAAAAATTGTTGTGGCAAAATTTCAGCCCCCTATCTTAATTTTTCATTTGCGCTAGCAAAAATAAGAACTCTTAGTGAAAAAATTTGGTTTTTTAAACAATTAAATTATATTAAGTAAGAAAAACAACATTGTTGTCCCTTCAATTTTAGTTTAATGAGCGGAAGTTTGAAGTAGCCAGGACTGTTGATTTTTGGAAATTTGTTTGTTGAAGGTTTCGTTATTTTTTTACTATATAAACATCCATGACTTGTTTATATAAACACACTTTGTATGGAAGAAAATAACTGACACCGTCAACAAAATAAAATTTCAAAAATCAGCTGCAGCCCTTTGCTCTACTATTTTACTTGTTCTTATTTTACTAAAATTGAATGGGTTACAAGGTTATTTTTTATTTGTTATATTTAGTTGTTTATTAAAATAAGATTGTGGGGAAAAGCATTTGTTTTATTTCATTAAAAATTCTTATTTTTGCGAGCGCTAACTGAAAAATGAAGATAGGGGCTGCAATTTTGCCGCAATTATTTTTTTGACCGATAACGCAATTTTCATATGGACCCAGAGAAAAAAACATTCGTTATATTTGACACCGTCTAATATACACACACATATATATATATATATACAATCTACACATATAAATGTAAGTCATAGTCTTTCCAAATGTGCGTATAAAATGCAGTAAAATTCTCGAAATATAGTATGGTGTAATGTTGAAATCATTAAATTATCACATAATTACGACGAATGTACATAATATTCATGATTATCACTGTAAGAATAAAAAAATAATCAGACCTGCTACGTAAATTTAACGATTTGAACCAAATTAGCAACATAGTTTTCATTATTTGTGTGGAAATAATAAATATTTTAGATGAAAACTGCTAAAGAGCTATCAGTTACGTCATATAAAGAATTTTGTAAATCAAAACATACGAATTACTAAACATGTCAGTATAATTTATATTAAAGAATCATGAGCATATTTAGTTGAACTTATTTTTACCATTCTTGAACATTTTTGTAATTCACCACACTATTTTTAACTGTTTTTTAAGTATACGCTACTTATCGTACATTCGTATACATACTTGTTTCTCTGCTATCATTACACTCATATGTTTATGTGTTTTAGAAACACTCGTTAATTTAATTTTGGTTTTTTGTGATACCAATGACAAAGAGAGCGCATTAATGTAACTATAACACAGAGATATTCTAAGGTAGAAAGTACATATAAAACCCTTAAGAGCGATAAATACAGAAAAATGCCGCGATACCCAAATAAAAAATAAAAACATCGAACTATATACATATATATATTGAAAGTAAAGCATTTATTAAACTACAACTCGAAAATAAGTAATAATTGTAACTCATTATACCCATATAATTAAAAAGTGAATTGATATATATTGTATATAAAAAACGTTGGAAATCGATCACAAAATTAAAAAGACAGTATATTAAGTGATCATTAAGAGTATTCGTAATAACTGTTTTCGATCTAATTTTTATACAGAATTGAAAAGAGAATTAATTACCACTTTAGTTTATTAAAATTTTTTGAATCTACTTGGTTTCTTTATATTCACCCGTTGCTTGTTATGAAATAAAATATTTATTATTAAATCATTCCATAAATTTGTGTATATTTGACTTTTCATAAGATTAGTTATATTCAGGTAAAAAATTGTATTGCATAATTGTTAAAAAAGTATTTTTTAGTTCGTATTCCCATTAAGTTTTTTTATTTTGTCTACCATTTACTGTATTAATTTATTGTATTATTTTTACCAAATACCAGATCGAGACAATGAGTGAGATAAAAATGAGAAAAGTAATTGATACACATACATACTTGTAATAGTCAAAATAAGATATAGTAGTATTAATAAAAATGTTGGTATACAAAAAAGTATCGTAAAAAATAACTGGACGCTTTGTTTTTTTCCAGAGCTCGAAGATAGCTATTAACCAATTCAAATCGCACTTTTAATAATATAACGAAGTATTTCAAAATTTCAACCAAAGTTTTATCAATTCATACAGTTGGTATACAAAATAACAGATGGAAAAACATATATCTTCGCCATATTTAGGGAGTTTGGTTATCTGTTTGACAGAACATATTCTACTTATCAAGCTCATAATTGCATGATGAAATCTCCAAAAACGTAAATTTTGAGATATATCTCTATATTATTAAACGTGCGAAATGTTCGCATTATCAAATGAGAAATACAGCAGCAGTGAGTGACTAGCAGTAGCGCTTTTACTATGGCTAATTATATTTTATTCTTAATTAACTAAAAAGTACTTAATCTTTAACATTCGGACAAGAAGTGAATGGAAATGATTTTTTGTTATTAAAAGTGAGTTCTTTGTTAGAGTGTGGTTTGAGATAGGGAACTTACATGGTCAAATTGTTTGACCAAACTGCGTCTCTGTGTAATTTGTCGTCAAACAACCCATCAAATTTCAGTTTTTCGCTTTGGTTGAAGTTGAAGAAAAGCTTGAGAAATTTTTGTATTCATGTTGCTTTGTACAGGACTGGAACCCAGGCCCTGCGGAGGGGCGTACATGTAAAAATTTATTAATTCTAAAATGAAGTCGTATTCGTTTTTCTTGCTCATTTCTTGTTTTTTATTTTAATTCTTGTGCACTTGTTTATCAATCATACGTCAAACTACTATCAAATGTGATGAAAATCAGTACTATTTTGATTTTGGTCAAACACCCATCAAAGTCATACATGTGACACATACCCCCTATTATGAATTTTCATCGTATCGTACGAAATCAGGGCTCGAATCGTCACATACGACAACGTATTACTCGTCACGTAAAAACACATTTTTCGGATTATGACATACGTGAACGTACTCTTCATCCCATTCAGCTTATACGACTGACGTATCACGTAATTTTCTTTCGTATGGTTTTCGATCCGTGAACGGAGCTCAGTTCTCGTATTACCGTTTTCATACGCCCGACAGATGTATTGTTGTGAATGGGCATGATTCAATAATGAAAGGTTTTGTAAATAGCTTTTTTCTAAAATTTGACACTCCCACCAAACGGGGTGGGTTTTTGGAAGCAGGAGAAAAAGGGAAAGAATCCAATCACACCTAATATGGTAGCTAAATTCCACAAAAAGGTGGGGATAACAGTGATTTAATTATTTAATTTAAACAAGCTTATTTACATCGAATATAATCCCTGATTGTTATTAAAAATAAATATTTCTATGTATATCCCAAAGTTGTGTTCGTCAGACGGCGCATAACTCGAGAATGGATGGTCCACTATGAGCTATTTTTTTTGTGTGTTTGTTTGCTTTGTAAATTTTTTGCGTCGAACTCTTCGATGCTGCACCTTTAGTGTTCTGGGGAGATTATGCCGCCGTCAGAATATTAAACATTGGCTTACACAGTCGCGATTTGCGATTTATGCTGATCGGACTCTGGAAGAATAAAAAGAGTTGCGTTCAGTAACTCGCAAGAAGTTGGAAGAATTTACCGGATTTTACCAGAAAGCGTTCCCTCGGTTATCTGGCAAAGTAGGGAAAAAATGGGAGAGTAAAATCGATCCCCTCTTTGTCAGACGTTGCAAACCATCAGCTGTTCAAATGATTTCGAATTTGAATAAGCAAAAACAAAAGTGCATTTGCATTTTCACCTTATTAAATATATCGTAGCGAAGAAACATCAAGTTTTGTAAGTATTTTTGTTAATTTTCGAGCAAAATTTAGAACACCGCCAAATGATAAAAAAAAACTGCTATGTAAATCAAAAATGGCGTCCACGGGGTATTTGACAGTTTTTACCCGAAAAGCGTTCCCGTACTTTTGGGTTTTCCCCCCTTTCTCTGAGAGGAATTTTGCTTTTTGACAGTTTTACAGGTTTTATCCAGAAAAGTGGAGAAACGAAACTACCGACACGTAGCTACTGAACGACTGAGACAGGGAACGTGATCTACAACGTCAAATGAGAAGGGCCGTAAGTTTGAAATTACATCGCGCCATTGACTAAACCCAGATGTCGTGTGTTACAATTGGCACCATGGATGTGGTTTGCCAGTATTAGTTGCGTTCCCTAACTCGCAAGAAGTTGCAAGAATTTACAGGAATTTACCAGAAAGCGTTCCACGGTTCTCTGGTAAGGTAGGGGAAAAATGGGGGAGTAAAATCGATCCTCTCTTTGTCAGAAGTTGCAAGATCTTACCCGAAGAATTTTTGCTGGTAAAATCTCGTAAAGTGTCAAACCATCAGCAGTTTCAAACGATTTGAAAGTTGAATAAAAACAAAGTAAATCTGCATTTTCACCTTCTTAAATATCACGCAGCGAACAAATATAAAGTTTTGTAAGTATTTTGTTAATTTGCCTATAATTTAGCAGATCGGCAAATGATAAAAAACTGCTATGTAAACAAAAAATGGCGACCACGGTGTATTTGACAGTTCCCAATAAACACCAAAAAAATATTTCTACAATCTTGGGGAAATTCATAGTTCTCAAGTTGATATCCAAATCATTCTCCAACTCATCTCTAACCGTCGCGCAGATACGTAAAAAGTGATAGAGAAACGAATTTTTAATTATCAAGTGAAAAACGAAAGCTATATAAAGAGGAAAATTACCAACAAAAAATAAGTAATCTTCAAAGTATCCTCAAATAATCTGGAAAGAAAATAAAACGCGAAGTGAATCAAGTGGCAAAATTACTGTCGGACTGTATACTGAAGTGAATTATTGTAATACGATATTGACTAACTACATAATACAAAAGGAGTAATAAAATGAAAAATTAATATTTAAATTCATCTATGTATGTCGTTTCAATCAAAAAGGTATAAGGTATTTTACTATTTCAATTTCCGTATTTCAATGATATGTTTGAGACCAATTGGAGAATTACATTGGAGTTGAAGTTGAGAACTAGCATTTTCTCAACTTGAGAAACAGTCCTTTTTTCATACAATGAAAAATACCCTTTTTGTTGAGAACGCTATGATCTTCCACTTGAGGTACTGTTGGGAAACGACGTTGGAGATTTGAGAATTACCATAGTTCTCAACTTAACCTCAAGTTGAGCTCAAACCTAAATGTTTATTGGGTAGTATTTGTAACTATTGCGCTTGAAAGTTGCGTAGCGGCATTCTCGTAGTTGCGCATGTGTTAGTGCGCTGCAGTAGAACTGCCACTTTAATGCGGGGTAGAAGCTGGAACTTTTTGAGAAATTTTACCTCACCGCACTGCCTCTCTTGCCTTCAAACAGAGTTGTTCTGGTGGCAGAAATGTTCCAGTGTAAAACCGACTATAGAGAATAACAGAATGCATGCGTCTGTCATGCTTCGAACGATTTCATAACAGGGGGGATACATACCCAATTTGCCACAGGGCGAAGACGACGTCGTTGCAAAGTCGCTCTGGTGAAGTCGTTTGGGTGAACTCGTTCCGACGTTGTTTTTTCTCATCGAATCGAAGTCGTTGCGACGTTGGCCTGGTGAAGTCGTTTTGGAGAACTCGAAAAGAATCCGTTTCTTCGAACCCACAAGTTTTTTGAGGAACCTTCGTTCTGGGTTGGACAAGTTCCACGCCCACATTATTATATATAAAATAAAAGTCATTCATTTGGATAGTAAACCGTTTTTATTATGACAATTTTTTATTATGGTAGAATATGGAATCCACAATGTACACTTGTACTCAGAAAATTAAGCCGCCTACATATTTTTTCAGTATTCATAATATTATTCATATAATTTTTTATTTTTTTATAAAGGTACAGTTATTGGCCTTATTAATAAAAAATAAAATTTGTGGGTTGAAGTTTTTTTAAATTTAGTATAAAACGCCGCTGTGGTGTAGTGGTAAGCAGTGCGCGCTTCCACTCCGCAACGCCTGGGTTCAAACCCTGGTCAAAGCAACATCGCAAAAAATATAGAAAAAAGGTTTTTTCTTTAACAGCGGTCGTCCCTCGGCAGGCAATGGCAAACCTCCGAGTGTATTTCTGCCATGAAAAACAGCTTCTCATAAAAATACAATCTCCGTTCGGAGTCGGCGTAAAACTGTAGGTCCCTCCGCTTTGTGTGACAACATCAAGGCGTACACCACAAATCGGAGGAGAAGCTCGGCCAAACACTAACATATGTGTAAGCGCCAATCTATTATTATTATTATAAAACTGTACTTTTACTTTAAATTTGGTATACATTTTTAGCATCGTTTTGCGACCCGCCGGTAAATCGTTTTTGCGACTCGCCGGCGAAGTGTGCTTTTTATCCGACGGTGAGTTCGCCGGCGAGTCGTTTGCGACCGTCGCCGGCGAACAAATTGTTCACCAAAACGAGTCGGAAACGACGTCGTTTGGCAAATTCAGTAGAAAATGTCACTAACACATACACGCAGTTTTATCAAACAATTTGACTATGTAAGGTCCCTATTACAGGTCTATTCTGCACGTTACCGATGATTTTGTAACCGGAAAATTGTATTACCAAAAAATGTAGCAATTCAGCTATGAAGGAAAAAGCTCGTTTTACCACTTTATTAAGACCAGAGGTTCCCAAACTTTTGTTTCTTGTAGACCACTTTCAAAATTTTACAGGATTTGGTGGACCCCCTGTCGCTACATTTCTACTATATTCACAAAACTCGCCAAAAATGTGAAGATTAGATCGAAAGATGGAATATGCAAGTTTTTACAAGTAACAGTCGCTGACCTTAATACCGAGTTCATAAAGCTATCAAAATATGCTCTCGCTCTGAGGTGTTATATTTTTAAGAGCGCTGCAATTTCAAAAACTCAACGCGCTGGCGTTATTTCCATTCTCTTCACTATAAACTTCTTACATTTATATATTATACTTTGGAGTATATATAAAAGATTTTATTCGTATTGACGGTATCATGTTTATTTTCATCGCTCCGCGTTTAAAGTGATGTAAAAAATAATGTATCACTCAGGTTTTTAAACCCACAAAACGTGAAACAAAATCGCAAAGGTGTTTTCGCCACACTTTTAATTCAGGGACTTGCAATAGAGCAATTCGAATCTAGAAAATAGAGATGGGCACGGGCCTAAATTTTCAGGCACGGCCCGGAACGAGTGCAAAATCAACTTTCAAGAACACGCACGAGTCCGCACGTTAAGAATTTTAGTGGGGCCCGGCCCGGCACGACGGGACACGTCCCAGCCCGGAAATAAAGAGCCAACTTTTATTGTATGTATACGTATGTACTTATTTTGAATTTTGTGTTTATGTATGTATATTTACTTAAGCGAATCAATTTTTTACATCAAAGATTTTTATAATATATTTTCTGGGAAGTAAAAAAAGTGGAAGGTATTTTATGTACAGATATGTAAACAAAACTACTAATTATCTTATTTTTTCTATCGGTTTCCAAATATTTCGTTTTTTGCTTTTCTCTTATCAAAAGAGGTTTAAATATGTACTATTTTTTTTTTTTATAAAAACAAAAGCTTATCTAAATTTGTAGTATTAGCAACGGGCTTTTTCGTACTTTTATGAAATTTTACTGAACGCCCATGCACGCACGCGTTCATGCAGACAGCAAATATTCCGGCCCGTGCCCATCTCTACTAGGAAACAACCAAGCAAGCGGCGCATCAAATTTAGAGCACAAATAAAATGATTGCACAATGAGCGCTCCCTGCTGCTTTACGCTGGACATAGACGACGAACATGTGTGCGCACATGCTTGTGCACTCGGTGACCAGAGACGACGAACAAATCTAAAAACTTCATTTTGTGCTGTAACTTTGCCGAGTAGACTGGCAACTAATAATTCAGCGGATGACGCCATCGTCTTATTAGTTATTTATTAGTTATTGTTCTAATATATTTGCCCAAACTTTAGCTTTTTTATTTTATTTTTATCTGAATCGCTTTTAATTTTCCATACGGCTACCTCGTTTTTTATGACGTCCATAAATTCTTCCATACACTTCTGATTGGCCGTCGGCATTTTACTACACACTCTTTCAAATCTACGACCGAACTGATAAATTGTGCGCGAACATCTCCACAAACGACCAACATGTTGGCGAGCAATCTCCAAAAACCTAACATTTTCGTAAAGCAACGATTTGTTCGCCAACAAGCTCACAGACGGTAAATTTCACGCCAACTCGCCAGCATATGCGCACACATGTTCGTCGTCGTCCAGCTTTAACCCCACGTCTCCACCTTCTACAGATTCTGTTAAAAAGCTGTGGTAAGACAGAAATGTTAGGCGGAGACCGCAAATTCCCCTGTTAAACCATATGTCTTGCAGAATTTCTTCCCATCGCTGTCTTAACATCAGCTGTCACTTGGTAGTTTGACAACTCAGTTTTCATTTTACCGCGCCATCTACATTGGGTACAGATCGATTTGATAGGCTTGATGCCATTTTGAAAGTGATATGTTAAGACAGCAAGTTGCCCACATGAGAAAACGGGACAAAGTTAAAGCAGAAATTTGACAGATGCTAATGCAGCGTTTTTGCTGCATTTAAAATGCAACATTTAGCACTTTCGAACATATTTTTTCGAAGAGCGTTCATGCTTTCGCATTTAGCAAATGTACATTTACGCGAGTTCGAAATCGTATGCTTTTGACAAACAGCCGTGTTCCAGTCGCTTATGCAGATCCGTATCTATCACGACGAACAATTCGCACAAAGAAGATAAAGTGCAAAAAACCCTACTGAAAAGGGAAAACGAAAGTTTAAACAAAAAACTCAATACAAAAACTTGAATTGTTTTAGCCATAACCGAAAATCTGTTTGTGTATATATTCATTTATCGGTGACGTCAATTGAAATTTCCCCAACTAAATAGGAAAAAAACAAACAGAGTTGATCACAAATTGAGCCAGATTTCTATCAGTATCACATCGATGTTAAACTTGCGCAACTTTTCTTTTTCCAAATAACGTACAATAATAAATGAAATCGGTATGGCGATCACTGAAACGCAGCTGTCAACTGTATACACGAAAAAGCAATGTTTCCACTTTTTCTCATTAAACCATGTTCGCATCGTGGAAATTTTTGAAGATCGCAGGGTTGATTTTAGCATTTAGACTCTTAATGCAGAAATGGAGTTGCATTTTGTTGCATTTAGGTGACGAATTTTGTATGGATAAATGTATATTTAGAGTAGCATTTAGAGCTAAATGCGATAAATGTGCTTTTACGCGTAAGCAAAAACAGCCCATAATACACATTTAGTAGAAAATGGAGGCATGTGGTAATCAGTTTATCAACGATTAAAACTACTAAAGCGAGCCATAGGCAGGCAACAGATCACAGTAATCGGTTGCAACTTGTTTCGCTAAACACAGGTGGATCGGTTTACGATTTTAATTTTTCGTTCGTCGGCTAGTAAACATGTGTGCAAAAACAACGGAAACTTTATTAAATACTGTCAACTCTAAAGTAAACTCTATTTAATCACTATATTAGTTCCTTAATAAATGTTTTACCTAATCTTGCTATTTTTCCGCTAATGAGCACTCTACGAAATCACAAAATAAATTACAAAAATCCAAGAACTCCGCCACACACACGTAACCGATTGCATGAACCGAAGAGAAACACGAAAACCCCGCTACACACGCGCAATCAATTGCAAGAAAACTAAAATTTTTTGAAAGCATGCAATCTGTTGCTCAACAGCGCCACAAACAAGAAAATTCGTTGAAATTTCAACCGATTGCTGCGATCGATTGCCTTGTCCGTGGCTCGCTTTTTCAATTCAAATTGATTAGAAGAAAAAACAACTGTCATTTGATTTCGTTCGATTCGAATCGACGTTCGGGCTCAGTTTTATGTATAGGTTTTTTGTTGAATATTTCCCACTGGGAAAATAGGTAAGCTCCTTACGAGGTAATCCATGTTTTCTTTCAGCTTTTAGTACAAAAATTGTCATCAAGACCAATGTCACCTACGAGTAAAGCACAAAATGAACACCTTCGATGATGCCTTACGTTGTCAAAAATGTAACGCCGAAGTTATTTCCGAGCGCTGAACTACTTGGACCGACTGCTCTACATTCCACGTACCTTACTTTGTAAAGTGGCTCAGAAGTATGTCTGATACCAAATGTACATTCTAAATTCCTACTTATATAAAGCGGTCATGCCTCTGTTAAAGTAAGGGAGATTCGGTAGGGAAGTGTTAAGGACCGCCAGGTGAAGTGCAAGCCTTACCAGCAACTTACACTTCACTCGACGGCCATTAGAGTACAACTCCACAACAATCTTTTCAGGAGTTGTACTCTTACCACTTCCCTGCCGAATCCGCGGGCCCCTGGACCACTTTGGGAATCACCAAGTTAGACCAATATTAAAATCCAGATCTATTGTTAGGAATCTCTGGTATCAAGTTCATTCAGAAGGGATTGAGTCAATTCAAAAACAATTTTGCAAATTTTCACCAGTGCTGCAATAACGCCGCTTTTATTACGTGGCTCGAATATACCCACTAGGCGTCTAAAGCTAATTGATTTGCCTACACTTGCAAGTTGTAGAGAAATGCTAGGAAGAATGTTTATCGTAAAATTAATGACATAAAGAATGTACACGAAAAAAACTGGTCACAGTTAAAACGTTCTAAAACATAAATATATTCATGGAATTCAACGATATTTACATATATTTACATCTAAACTTAGTTTTATTGAAATTCGTTAAAAAAGAGTTAATTCTCCTTGTAATAAGCAAACGATCGCAATTTTGACTTTATGTCCTTCATTAGCCCTTGCACAGAAGTTTCAGTGATTACCTTGGAAACCAGCTGCCATTTATTTTTGAATTGTTGTGCGTTTTTTACAGCTTTGTGGGTCTTAAGAAGTTTGGATTTCATAACGCCCCAGTAGGTTTCGATCGGCCGATGCTCTGGACAATTAGGTGGATTCACCTCTATCACACATATCGCGAGATCAGGCCAAAAAAGCACTGGATCTTTATGAAGCCGTATAAGAGGTAAAAGTCGCTTTTGCAGACACTCCTTAACATAAATTTCTTGGTTAATTGTACCAGTGCTTACAAAAGGATCACTTTTGAAGCCGCATTGGCAAATTGCCTGCCAAATGAGAAACTTTTTGGGAAATTTGTCAAACTTTTTTTTTTTATATTTATCTGCAACATTGCCTCTTTTATTTGCAGTGTGAAATTCGCGGCCCCGGATTTGTTTAATATCGGCTTTTACGTACGATTCGTCATCCATAACATCGAAGGCGATAACTACCTTGGATTCAACATGTCATAAAACGGGAGATAAGTACGAAGTTGAGCTGCAGTGGCGCCACGATGAGGTGAATCTGCCTGATAGCTACGAAATGGCGTATAAGAAAAGATTTCTAAAAGAACCAGCTCTTAGAGCAGCAATGCAAGAGCATATCAACAACTTGCTGACAAAGGGCTATGCCATGAAACTAAGTCCATCCCAACTACAATTGAATATTTCTCGTGCCTGGTATTTACCAATATTTGTAACGCGGAGCCCGAATAAACCTGAAAAGCTTCGTCTAGTATGGGATGCAGCAGCTAAGTGTAAAGGCGTGTCATTGAACGATACAATAATAAGTGGCCCAGATCTGTTGAAACTCCTGGTGGA